TTTTGGTACTGGGGATCAAACTTGGGTCCTTGTGCTTATGAGGCAGGTGACAGAATCACTAAACTAAATCCCTGGCCCTGAAATCAGCAGTTCTAAATAGCAAGCGGAATATTTTAAATACTGTGCTAATATTTTAAAAATAAATATAAATCAGCCTGAATCTTCCACTACAATCATGAGTGAAAATACTTACAAATGAAAAAGAAAAATGTGTAGAGACTAAAGGCGAATGGGTAAGAGCAAGCAAGCAGCTCCCCCACACAGTGGATAAATCTGAAGTTTACCTAACCTCTACATTTCAATCTCCATCTCAATTTTTTTCATCTGTAAATGGGCTATCAGTACCTTAGGGAGCTATCAACTATCTTAAGGAATTACTGCAAGGATTAAATGGGATAACTCAATAACTAGCACACAAATAAGTACTTGGTAAATAGCAACAAATAATTTAGATACGACATGTTCAGTAAATTCTGACATACTCCTGAGTAGATTCATTCCGTTAGATTTGCGTGACAGAAATAACTCCTGGTGACCTATGGCTTCTAAATCAGACACCGATCTACTTATGATGGCAAAGGAGAAGCCACAGAAGAGCACTGTCTCACACCTCCCCGATATAGCACCAGTGAAACAAAACAAAAATACCCAATGCCATTCACCACCAAGTCCTGCTTTGTAGGAGGAGCATTTTAGTGGCATATGCTTTATGCTCACAGAAATTCCCTGTTATCCATTATTTCGCTCTGCATGGTTTCAGTTAACCATGGTCAACTAGGTCGGAAAATCCTAAACAAAAGATTCCAGAAATGAACAATTCGTAAGTTCTCAATCATAAGTCCTTTTCTCTCAGAACTTTGAGTACACTGCCCCTCACCTTTTTTTATTTTTTATTTTGGTACCGGGGATTGAACTCTGGTCCTGTGCTTGCAAGGCAGGTGGTGGCACCAGAGCTAAATCCCTGGCCCCTACCCGCTTGTCTTTTAAACCCTCCATGTTCCTTGTGAAACATTTGTTGTAGTTCTGAAGCACTAGAATTTTCATACATTACTTTTCTGAAAACTGACCTCCATTTTCTCTTTCTGAAATTTCTGCCAGTTAAATAAGATTTTCTTTTTCTTCTATTTTCAGTTTTGATTTATCCTCTAGACAATCAACTTTTAAAAGTTGTGCTAACTTCTTAATTTCCAAGAACTCTTTTTTCTTTCCTGATTTTTAAAGTGATTATTCTGTTTTTACTTTATGGGGGCAATATATAGTCCCTTCTCTGAGAAAATTAAATTTACACTTTCTGTTTAAGGTTTTCCGATTCCAGAATTATCTATGTTTCACATGCTGTCAATTTTTTACCTTAGGCTTATTTATTTATATGCTAATTTTCTGTGAAAATGACTTTTGGTTGAGTATTGATCTTAAGAAAGAAAAAGGAAGGGTGGACTGAGGCCCTGTGCTGGCAGGGCTCACTGACTGGCACCTTTTGCTTCAGTATTAAACAAAGAATCTGCCCTTATATAGGGGACCCCTTAAAAGCTTGAAGGAGGAGAGCTCATTGCCACACGGAAGTGTCCACGATGGATACTACTTTTCCTTTACACTGGCTTTGTTATTTCCAGAAACAATAACCTCTATCTACTTCCTGGGGAAGAAAGGAAAGAGAGGCAGCAGGAACGTGATGGTGGTCGTGTGTGGGCTTGGGTGGGAAAGGAGGACAGGTGTTTCATTGTAGAGCTTTTAAACATTCCTCCCTTCCAACTTTCAGTTGTCCTTCCACCCTGACTTCTTAAGTTCTAGGTTCTGTGATTGTATGGGATTGATCAGGAAGTTCCTTTGTTGTAGCACCGTCTTGAGTACTTTTCTTGAGTAGTTTTCTTCGTTCCCATCTGTTTCACCCATCATTACTCTTTGCTTCCTTCAAAAGTGTGTGGTGGTGATCTCCTGTCTTCTGAGAAAACTCTGTTATGGTTCCAGTGTTACAGATTTCTTTCTTTTTTTATTATTTTTTTTCTTCATTTATTATTATTGTCTCCAAAGAGAGACAATTTTTCTAATCTTCTATTTTTCTGATCTTCTTAAGTGGCACCTTCACCTACTAGTTCTATCACAAATCTAGGATCCTCCTGGATTCCTTCTTTCCATCTCCAAACTATATTCCAGGTCTGACCATTTTGTACCATTGCTCCTACATGAGCCACCATTTTGTTCTCACTTGGACTTCTGCAGTAGCCTCCTGGTATCCTGCTTTCACACTTGTTTTCCCACTGCCAGTTCCACATGCAGCAAAAAGCAGCTTGAAACAGAGATCAGAGAGCACTGCTCTCCTGTTTGACATACTTTAAAGTGACCCTAAGCCATCTAATTTCCTAAATTAGCAAACTTGCACAAGTCTAGTACTTCTGCTTCCTTCCACGGTCTTAAATCATACCATGCTTTTCGTCTGTTTCTGTTTTGTTTTTTCAGGTGAACTGGCCTTCTTTTGTGCTTCCAAGATGCGATGCCAAGACTTTTACTTACTGCACCCTCCCCTAAGGCTTCACAGAGGTGGCTACATTTGCTCCTCCTGCCCTCAGTCAGCACAAATCACACCTCCTCAAAATGGCTCCCCTTATAATTTTATTAAAGTAAGCCCAGGCATGCTATCCCTTTAGTCTCTTTTATTGCCTTCTTAGACCTTGTTACCATTTGAAAAAAGTCTTACATGTATGTCTTAACCATTTTACTAAATGTAAGACCCATGAGAACAGCAATCTTGTCTGTCTAGTTCATCTGGTAATGATAGCACTATTCTTTATTAGTGAAATGGTTATGCTATAGTGCTTTCCCAATCAAAATAGTAACAGTTTCAATTTACAATATATCTTTTTGTTTTAAAGGAAATGTTAAATCTTCCTTCCTCAAAATAATAATGGAAGACTTACTTCAATCTCTAAAATACCTAAGAGATAAAAGTTAACAAAGCAAGGTTTTGCTCAGAACAAATGCCACCCTAAAGTCAACTTTCTGCATTTGTTTCAAAAAATAAAGGCCTAATAGAGCTTCAGACAAAATACATTTCACCTGCGCTCATATCCATAATCTCTATTTGAATAATATAACCAAGCCACATTACTGAATATTATTAAGTGAATATTATTCTCTCGCTTAAAAGAAAAAGCTGTCTAGATAATAGAATGCTGAAGATCTACATCC